CATTCCAGTGTCTTTGAGGAAGCACCTTTGACCCGAAAACCCTAAATCCCTAAAACTTGAATCTCTAAACCCTAAACCTTGAAGCCCTGAACCCTAAACCCTAAACCCTAAACCCCTAACCCGAAACCCTAAACCCGTAACCCCCCAACTGGGACCCTTTGGCTCCCTGCGCCGCTCTGAGCCCCCCCTGGGCTCCTAGGCCCCGGCTCTGCTAAATTCGTCGCAAGATATAACGTCTTTAAGGGTTTAGGGGAGAGGGGTTTAGGGGTAGGGTTTTTAATGGTTTAAGTTTAGGGTTTAGGGTTTTTAATGCTGTTTAGGGTTTAGGGTTTTATTAAGGCTCCCTTTTTAGGGATCCTTTGAAGGGTTACTATAAGGGCTTCCTTTCAGGGATCGATGGGTTTAGGGTTTAGGGTTGGCTAGTCCGCGGCACACCCAAAACCCTAAACCCTAAACAACAAAAAAACTGGTTCCTTTGGGCAGTTTGAAGCGGTGTGGGTGACAGTTTCAGAAGATGTTGGGGTGTAGGGTTCAGAAGTTCCGGCATCGGGTGTAGCGTTTAAGGATTGAGGAGCAAAACGAGGCTTAAGGGTCTCGAGGCTCGGGGTGAAAAGGTTGAAGGTTTAGCGGTTCAGAGTTTAGGCATTCGTAAGGCTTTGTTTAGGGTTTGGGGTTTAGGGTTTAGGGGTGGCATGAATCGTTTATGTAAGGGTTTATATATCCGGGTGCCGGAAACCCAGGTCCTCGTTGACGTCCGGTGCAAGGAGGACTCGATGTCGACCTGTGCAGATGGCTCCGATCGTGTAGCGGTTTTTATGTTAACAGGCTTTTCTATGGGTTTGGTGTTTCTGATGAGGTGAAGGATCTTGATCGTCTGAGTGTGCCTTTAGCCCCGAAAACCTTAAAGCACCAAGCCCACAACGAAGTCCTGCACCCTGTCAGGAGATGGAGGTGTCCATGATACCCGGCTCCGTGACGAAGGCGACGGATGGGCAAAGCTTCGGGTGATGCGAAGGGGTCTTTTCACTCACGACTTGCACCAGTTCGATCTCAGTGTTTGCCTCTCGGTTTGGTCTCAGGGTTTTAGAAGTCATTGGTGGAACATGCTGAACTTGGTAGCGGAAGGGGTCATGACAACCAGGCAGAAACGTGCGCTGATGCTTCGCACGCTAGCGCATCAACTGCTCAGACAGCCCGGACCTTCACGACGGGTGCATTGAGCCATTGGCTTCAGCATTTTGGCGATGGAAGGTGCTGGCTCATGCTAGACGTAAACCCTAAACCCTAAACCCCATCATGGTCGCCTCCAGGGGAAGGCGATTGCTAACAGTCCTGACTCCACTGGCGGTTGTTGTGCTGTCGACGTGTTCTTCTCTGGTCAACTTTGCCCGTCGTGGACAAGGCGATGTACGGTCACTTCGCAAGCGCGACGGACTTGAGCTGCACACGAAAGCTTCCCACAAGGATTCTGTGCTGAGCAGGGAAGGAGCAGATGTGCTCGAAAGCATTCAGCTGGCTCGTGGAGCTGGGGACTGGATAACAGTGAAGTCTCTTTATGCGTCTTATGCTGACACTGGCACCGAAATTCAGATTTTCAACGCGGTCTTGCACACAGCTGTAGAGTGCGTGCAATACAAGGAAGGCGCCGCTATCTTTGATAGCTTATGCAAGTTGGATATCACGAAGACATCGGCCACCTACTCAGCAGCTCTCAAGATTTTTGCAAAGTTGGGGCACTACGCGACCGTCAAAGAGCTTTGGGAAGAAGCTCGAAACAATCGGGCATGTGACATGAATGAGCCTTTGACAGCAGCGCGCATAGATGCTGCTGCCGAAGAGGGGGATGTTGAATCAGCTCTTTTGCTGTTGAGTAACATGACCCAGACAAACGTCAGCATCAATATCGCTCACGTCACGAATGCCATCCGTGCCTGCTGGACCGCCGGAGGTGTCAAGTACAGGACAGCTGAACACCTGTTTAACTTGACCGCCAGACTGGGACTGGAACCCAACATCGTGACCTTTTCTTGCCTTGTAGGGGCTTACGGTGCTGCACCGCTGGAGAAAGCCCTTGCTGCATATGCAGACATGCGTAGGATGGGGATTGAGCCCAATCCACCATTCGCAGACGCTTACCTTGGTGCCATTCTAAAGAAGCCTCGGGCACACAGCTGGCAGCCAGCGGAGATCAAGAGCGCGCTTCAGCTACTCCAGGACGACGCCCCAAACCGCATTGAAGCCGCCAAGCTTGCCTTGAGTGAGTTCAAAGCCCTCGGTCTCGAGCTCACCGACTTAGCACGGCGTATAGACGGAGCACTCCGAAAGTTGGATTCCTAAACCCTGTAAATCCGGACCCCGACTCACCCTAGTAGTTCATTCCATGATCAGTTGGAAGCTTTCAGGTTACTTCATAGCCTCGAAGGCTGCGGAAGCTCGCACGCGAACCCAAGCTCCCAAACCGGGGAGTTGAGGATTTAGTTGGCACACCCTGCACTCCACGTCAGCCCAACCAAGCTGGGGTGGATGATGCAAAGTGTACTGACTGTGTAGTGACAGTTGTAGTGATGTAGTGCCTGTTATTGAAGGTTTTTTGACGTGCAGCAAGATGGCACCAGAATCCAGAATTGTGGCGCAGCTGGTTCACCTGGTATGCTTCATGCCAAGCCACCTCTAAGCTATCGTAACGACAAATCCCCTACATGCCAAATACAGCCCGGTAAAACCGCAGCAAACTCCATCGAATTTCACACATCCGCTGTATCTCCGCATGACAAACTTACCAACCCCATCCAAGGTCACATATCCCTGCGAAAGCCGCCCCCTCAAAAAAACAGATTCCCCAAATAATAGGATGCTTTAGAATGTAAACCCTAAGCCCTAAACCCTAAACCCCTAAACCCCTAAACCCCCAAGCCCCTAAACCCTAAACCCCTAAACCCTAAACCCTAAACGTACTGCGACCAGAGGATAGGATCCTTGGATCTTCGGAACATCGTTCTATATCCTGGGTTCTTGTTAAGGAGTTTAGTTTAAGTTACCATACTAAGGAAACCATATTATTTACTATGGATCCCCCATTGCGGCAACTTAAACCCTAAACCCCTAAACCGCAAAGCCCTAAAACCTAAACCCTAGAATGGCAACTTAAATCAAATTTCTTCACAAGAACCTAGTATCAGGGCCCCCCTTTTCGAGGTTGGAGTCACCCATGCCTCGATTTTGCACACCCAGGACCTAGACCCTATCAGATTATGGGTTATGGGCATTTAGGGTTTAGGGGTTGAGGGTTTAGGGGTTTAGGGTTTGGGGCCTTTGGGGTTTAGGGTTTAGGGTTTTAGGTTTAGGGTTTAGGGTGTACGGCCAGTGTCTACATGACTTCGCCCATGGAAACTACAAGCATGCTATGGGCCCTTGCGGAAGAGCCTAAAGATCCTAAACCCTAAACCTACCCGGATGAAGGGGTATTGGGCTGTTTGGGAGCGTGTGTCAGGAGCATTTCGAGTCGCAGCTCTTGCCTGGCCTGCGCGCTGCAGATCCGCAGCCGCTGGTGGTGCCTTGCAATAAAAAAATCGGTGGTTTTCAAGGTTTTAGGACATCTGGTGGGTGTTTATCCGGCTGAAAAAGATGGAAGTTATGTACACAGTATAGTAAGAACCCTAAACCCTAAACCCTAAACCCTAAGTTCCCTAAACCCCTAAACCCTAAACCCTAAACCCTAAGTTCCCTAACCCCTAACCCCTAAACCCTAAACCCTAAACCCTAAACCCTAAGTTCCCTAAGCCCTAAGCCCTGTTTTTTTGTAGGGCTTCCCTGAAGCCTCGCAGCTCGGAGGCCGGTGGGGTTCAGTGAGCCGCCTAGGGCCTTCGGGGGTTTATGGTCTGAGGGTTTAGGGGTTTAGGGTTTAGGGTTTTAGGATTTAGGGGTTTAGGGTTTAGGGTTTCAGGGTTTCAGGGTTTAGGGATTTAGAGGTTTAGGGATTTAGGGTTTCAGGGTTTCAGGGTTTAGGGATTTAGGGATTTACGGGTTTAGGGTTTAGGATTTAGGGTGGCGTAGGGCATTCGGGCGTTTACGGTCTGAGTTCAAGGCCTCCAAGTCAATTTCTCAATCAACCTCTGTTTAGGGTTTAGGGGTTTAGGGATTTAGGGGTTTGGGGTTCCTCAATCTCCCTAGAGGAGGTTCCGGGCTTAAGCCCTAAACCCGATGTCCAAGCCTACAAACCCCGACTCCAACCCCCCAAAAACCCAGGACCTCAACCTCGAACTCTCCCTGAGTTGAGGAATGAGGTCGGTGTAGATTCCATTGCTCTGGCAATAACTTACCCTTACATCGGATGGTGAGGGGGGGCAAAAAGGTTCAGAAGTTGAGGCTGAGGGTGTGTGGAGTCTGGCGCTTCGGTGTCGGACGGGCTTTGTGGGTTCAAGCTCTCAGAGGCTTTGAGGGGCCACAAAGTTGCATTGATACGGAACCCTAAACCCTAGACCCTAAGCCCTAAACCCTAGGCCCTAAATCCTAAACCCTAAACCCTCCAAAGGTTCTCAACTTCACGGTGCAGGGGGGTGGCTCTGTTTTCGATGACACGAGGAGTGCTGGTTCCTGCATCTTCATCTCCTTGTCCTCGGACTTAGGGTTCAGGGCTTAGGGTTTCACCTTTTAGGGTTTAGGGTTTAGGGTTCACCTTTGTTAGGGTTTCAATCTGCAGCACAGTGAGACGGCCAAGTACCTAGACCAGCGAGTGGTTGCTGAAATCATCCCAACATTCACAGAATTGTCCAGCTTGCTGCTGTGTCGTGTCGCGCCGATTCGCCGCAAGGTTTCGGGTCTGCGGCCCTACGGCCGTTGTTTTCGTTGTTGGGGAGCTGAGGCTGTCGGGTTTAGGCTTAGAGGTACAGATGTAGAGCTTTGGGCTTCTGGGTTTGGCGTTGTGTGTTTGCGGGCGCAGACTGCGTGGTTTAGGGCCTCAGGGGCCTTTGCAGTTCCTTAAGGACGAAAAGAGCCCTAAAAGGTTTTAGGGTTCATATACCATATAGGGATGCATAGTATATGGGTATAGGCCCCCTACTTTTGAGATTTATTTGGTCCTGAAGGTTCAGGGTATCCGTCATCTTGGCCCAAGCCCGACTCGCGGCACTCGTGCTCTAGACAGCCAGCATTGAGGTGCCTTACTGCACCGTGGGCTACCGCTCTGGTGTCTACGCAAAGGCCAGGCGTTTACCGAAAAGCCCTATAAATCTTACAGCCGTGATTCAGGTTCCGGTCCTCTGGACTTGTCTATGTGGTTTAGGGTCTAGAGGTTGAGGGGTTTAGGGGTTTAGGGTTTAGGGTCTTTGCCATTCCTCTTCGCGTGCTGCACAGTTACGTGCGATCTTGGTGCATTGGCGGCCACTAGCTTTTTGAGGCGCATTGGGACTAGTTAGTTCAGACTTTCGGCGTTCAGGGTCTATACTTAGGGCAGAAGACTTTCAGATATGAAGGAGCTCATGGACAAGCACGGGCTGCAGAACGTGCGCAATGGCGAGGGTGTGGCCTTGGGCCCAGCCATCGTAGCGGGGGAGCCATAGCAGTACTAGTAGTGGGCTGTCCTCAATGTTGCAAGATGGAACCCGGAACTGTCACGTCCTAAATCGGATATGGCATGGCGTGCTGTAGCCCAGGAATCCAGCAAGGCGCCGGCAAAAGTGAGTGTTCTTTTTGCAGAGCTTTGTCACGGCTTCTAGGGTCTGTATCAGGAATGTATAGGAAATTCAATTCCCTGAGCCCGCTTCGGCTGTTACCACCTGAACGACCCTGAACACTAGGGCTTCAATCTCACTCCATCACCTACAGAATCATGCTACACTGTACCCCAAAGCCATGGTTTCCGTGAAGATGGGCCCCCGTATGATGAACCCGAGGCCAAGGCCATAAACCGTCCCGTGAACCCCTGACTTTTCAAACGCAGCGTTGCAAGTCTAAGTCCCTAACCCCTAAACCCCTAAACCCTAAACCGTAAGCCCTAAACCCTAAACTCAAGAAACACCTAAAAACCCAAGATCATGTGGACCTTCGACGGAAGCGGACTGGTCCGCCCAGCGAGCGGCGTGGCCGGGACGGCCCGGGGACTTAATGTAAGGGTCGTGAGCCTTCGTATGGTTTTCAGGGTTTCGGGTTTAGGGCTTTAGGTTTTGGGTTTAGGGTTTAGGGGTTTAGGGTTTAGGGCTTAGGGTTTAGGGCTTAGGGTTTGGGGTGAGCCTTCGGACAGCGCTTGAAGCAGCGGGTACCTTGCTTTATTTTTTCCAGTCTGCTAAACCCTAAACCCTAAATCCTAGCATCCCCAGCCCTCTTCAACACATGTTTTTTTTGTTCCGAAGTTGGGTTCTGGTTCAGGGGCTGGCAGCGCTAAGCGCTCAACCTACGTAGGGTAGATGTCCGGGAGGGATCGGTCGAGGAACTCCTTGGCCTCCCAGTAGCATGTTAAGTCCCAAGAAACCCATATTTGCTAATGAATAAGCCCCCCCATATATATAGGGCATCGGAAGTAGGGTTTAGGGTTTAGGGTTTAGGGTTTAGGGTTTAGGGTTTAGGGTTAGTACTCCAGACCCTTGATTCTGCCATGACTCGCCAAGCGGATTTCCATTTCTCGGCTCACTCGCGGACAGGGTTACTGCTGGCGCGGCATCCTGCGGAAACCTCAACCAGTGCAGTCTCACCACCGCAAGGCCTCTAACTGGGCTATTATCTTAGTTGGGGTCTAGCGTCGTATGCGGTATCTGTTTAAGAATTTGGGTACTACTTAAACCCCCCAAAAGTAGGTAAAATAATGGCCCAAAACCCATAGAAGGCCATTATTCTACATACTTTTGGGGTCCATGTACTTAAGACTTCTGGAATTTGGGGCCGAGTATAAACTCCTAGCTCGACAGCCCTGGCTAAGGTCGTCGGCAAGGCTGCCGAGGACGCCGGGGAGGTGCGATGGTGTTGACAAGGGACACCTTAAACCCTAAACCTAAACCCTAAACCCTAAAACCTAAACTCAAAACCCTTAACCCCAAACCCTAAGCCCTAAACTGACTGCAGCCAAACCCCCCCGGGTTTTGGGGTTTACGGGTCCCCCAACTACCCCAAGATTTGCGTTCCTAGGTTTAGCCTTAGACTTGACATCCAAAGCAATTCATGTAGGAGTCCCTGGCAATAGCTTTACCACAGCTTTGCACTCCTTGAAGAGCATCGTGCCCCCAGTGGGGGCGCCTTGCTGTTCCCAGTCAGGCTACTGGCTGGAAACTCAACTTCAATACAGACGTCTATAGCACTCCTAAACAAAACTCTGAACCCTAACCAATGAATCCAAAGGCCAGAATGCAAAAACAACACCATTTCAAGCCCGATGAAATCCCCAACAAAAGTTATACACTATGAAACCCCAACAAAACACTCCGAAACCCTAACAAAACACTATGTAACCCTGACAACAAAAAAACACGCCAGGCGCTTACGTCGGCATGGCAGCCCGTCACCCGCGTCCACGCGACTTGGCAGAGAGAGGAAGGCTTTGAGCCATTGGGTATAATAAGGGTTCCTTAAAGGGATCCTCAAAGGGATCTGTATAACTAAGGGTAGTTTTCTAAATTAGGCTATTAAGGGTGCCGTACTATGTTGGGGACAAATTTAGAGAACTACCCATGGTGTTCATTTAATGTTGGGTTTATGGGGTTCGATACGGCGGAATATACCGCTCGGAATGGTCCTGATTAGTAAGGATCTCCCTTATAGTCCCTTTATGTCGCTCCAACACTCTATTCCGACTATCACACCCTACAGGAGAGGATGTTAGAACGGGTCTCAGAGCTTTGTCGGGGTCCATTCGAATCCCTTGTTATGGTGGCTTTGTACAGTGTGCCCTTCTTTCTCGTGGTTGGTAAACTCCTAAACTCAACGAAAACCTCGAACCCCGAGCCAGAAACTATGGACCCCCAAAGCACCCCAGCCTGAACCCTAAGCCCTAAACCCTAGATTTCAAGCTGACAGGGGCAGCCTTGGGTTGCAACCCTAAACCCTAAAACTTAAATCCGAAAGGTCTATGGCAAACCCTGGGACATGGCAGCGGAAGGATACACCACAGCACCTCCCTCAGAGAGATTTGGGATTTTCGCCGAGGGTTGAGGATGTGGGGGAAGTGTAGCCGTTTCGGATGTCAGGAAGCCATTACAAGAAGTGGTAGGCTAGCAGACCCGCACCTATATTTCAAGAAAGGCCCTTTTGCTTTTGCCACTCCCCAAAATTCCGAACTACTTCATGCAGGTGTTGCCAGAGGGTTGAGGGGCGGTTGCGGGTGTGTGGGGCCCATCTCAGCCGGTTTCAGTACAATTGGCCGCTGGCCTTGGGTGTGGGGAGCTGCGTACTTGAGCGCAGGTAAGGAAGTTTGCCCCGACGTAGAAGATCAAAGGGGGTTTAGGGTTTAGGGTTTAGGGGTTTAGGGTTTAGGGGTTTAGGGGTTCAGGGTTTAGGGGTTTGGGGTGTAGGGTTTAGGGTTTAGGGGTTTGGGGTGTAGGGGTTAGGGTTTAGGGGTTTGGGGTTTAGGGGTTCAGGGTTTGGTTCAGCCCAGAGACTCCAATATCCCTTAAGTAAGGAATATACCTTAAACTATACTAGGAACCCTGATATGATTTAAGGTATATTCCTCAATTAAGGGATATTGGGGTCTCTGGAAGGTGATTCAGGGTTAGAGCTCGATGCACGCATCAGGAAACTTACCTGCACAAACAGGGGTCACCCCTTTGAGGTTTCATTGCTATCAGGGTTGCCGCATCTATTCACAATGGAGCTGCGACCAAATTTCATGCGGAGCCCGCGAAGCTACGTGTCCACCTCCCTTCTTACCCACATCATCCCGGATGAAGCCCCCGCCGTGTGAAACCGGGTTGCAGACCATGTGACCTTCTGAAAATCTTGACTCTATCCCAAACCCCAAGCCTTAAACCCCAAACTCCAAACCCTAACCCCCAAAATCCTAAGCCCTAAACCTTAAACTCTAAACCCTAAACCCTAAACCCTAAACCCTAACCCACAAACCGCACGCCCCAAACCCTAAACGCTAAACCCCACACCCTGGATCCCTACACCCCACACCCCTAAACTGGGTTCTTGTTAGGGGTTTTAACTTAAGTTAATGGGGATCCATGGTAAGTAGTATGGTTTCCTTAGTATGGTAATTCAAATTAAATCCCTTAACAAGAATCCAGTAAAGCACTAAACCCTATAGCACCCTTACGAAGCCCTTTTGTACACTAGGTTCCCCAGCAAGTAGTACCCTTCTACCCCTTTTAAGTTTCGCGCCCCCGTAGTTCAAACTCAATAGCAGGAGAAAGGGCACCCTTGTTTCGAAGGCTACAAGGGGGAACCTCGGCCCTAAACCCGAAGCCCCTAAAGCCCTAAACCCCAAACCTCTAAAGCCCTAAACTCTATAACGGTTTAGGGTTTAGGGTTTAGGGTTATAAACCCTAAACCCCAACCCGCCTAACCAGGGAACCAATGACAAACACACACACACATACCTAAATCTCTAAACCCCTAAACCCCTACACCCCTAAACCCTTAAACCATCTTAAACCCTAAGATCCTAAACCCTAAACCCCTAAACCCCTAAACCCTAAACCCCCAGACCCTTAAACCCTAAACCCCTTAACCCCTTAAGCCCTAAACCCCCCGCCAAGCTCGCAGGAGTTCTTCTCCCAGACGGGAGGTGCATGGCGCTTCCTGAAGCAGAAGTGCTCGAAGAGACTCGACCAAATCTTTAAGGCTTTAAGGGTCTTCATAATGGTTCCTTAAGGCTTTGCGTCTTCATCATGGTTCTTTAAGGCTTTAAGGGTCTTCATTATGGTTCTTATAAAGGCTTTTTTAAAGCAGGGTTTGCTATAGATGCCTTCATGCATAGAACAGAGTTGTCGGGTCTATTATAGTTTACTTAAAGGCGACAGACGACAGGGGGAAGTTATTGATTGCGTTTTTGTTGTCTCTGGGGTTTAGAACCTTACGGTTTGAGGGTTTGCAGGTTTAAGGGTTTAGGACTGTCGGGCTTTCTGGGTTCGGTGTTCAGGCAGTGTTCAAGGGTTACGGCTCATTGGGGCATACTATTCTTGCATGGCCTTTTTTCAAGCAGTTCTACTTGATTTTAGGCGCATGTCTACTCAGGTGCTGATAGTTTAGTGTAGGAGGCTGCACCGCTGATACTGGACTTCCTTTTTTTCTTTAGACAGATGAAGGAGGCGTAGCCTAAAGCTTAAACCCTAGACCCCAAGCCTTAAACCCTAGGCTCCTGGACCCCAATCCTAAGTCCTAAGCCCGCCGTCCTAACCACCGAGTTTGAGTCTACAGCTCAATGAGGGCCGGAGTTGGGGAGACTCCTGGGACCTTCAGCGGCCTGAATGAGTAGTAATTAGCATTATCCTCTAGGGTCCACGAAGATAGTCATAGCAAATGTGATACACCACGAAACCCTATTTATATGTACTTCGGCCCCCTATTTTACTTTAAGGTCCACAGGCAAAAAACCCAAAGTTGCACGACATATTATACCCAAGCAGCCCCACGATCTAAGCAAAAGTCCCAAAAGAAAACTACTCCACAGGGCCTCGGCCAGCCAAGGGTTCCTTATGCGTGGCAGGTGTTTTCTGCGATCCAGCAAAAGAGATAGGAACGCCCCGTGTCAGAATCTGTAGAATAGCTTTGCAAGGCCCATGAAAGAGAAGCCTGAACCCTAAACCCCTAAACCCTAAACCCCCAAACCCGAAGCCCCGAAACCCTAAACCCCTAAACCGCTAAACCCCTAAACCCAACACCCCTAAACCCTAAGCTCCTAAACCCATATCTTAAGCCCTCTTGTAACCTTCTTGTCGGCGGGATCTCGGTAGAGGGCGAGATGACGGCTGGAGCTCAAGCTCCGAAACCGATACGCCCAAAACAACTTGGCTTTCTGACGAAACTCAAGAGGGCATTTAGGGGTTTAGGGGTTTAGGGCTTACGGTTTAGGGTTTAGGGTTAAGGTTTAGGGGTTTAGGGTTTAGGGTTTAGGGTTTAGGGTTTAGGGTTTAGGGTTTGGCTTTAGGGTTTAGGGGTTTAGGGGTTTAGGGTTTAGAGGGCGAAGACGTCCCAAATCCCACACCCCTCAAGCCGAAGCCTTGACTGAATGAAGCAGACACCACAGCGTCGCGGCGCCCTCTATCAACTCCGAGTCACAAAAGCCCGAATTCGCTGTGGGCCTTACAAATACCCCAAGCCCTTGAGTGCGCAGGGACTGCGCGCGTTTGAGTGAGAGTTTGCCGGACTGGGGTACTTGGTGCTGTGGGTCTTGACTTCGCGAAGCTAGTAATTTTAATTTTAATTTCTTCAGGGTTGGTTTAGGGGTTTAGGGGTTTGCGGGTTTGGGGGTTTAGGGGTTTAGAGGTTTAGGGGTTTAGGGTTTAGGGGTTCAGTTTGACATCTCAGCCGGGCCCGAAGCTCTGAAGCACCACTCCGACGCCGTACCTCTGCAGCCAAAAACATGTGGGTAGTTCTCTAAATTAGGGTCCCTCTTTGGGTCCCCAACCCAGAGAACCCAATACACCTTAATTCAGGAATATACCTTAAATTATAGGGCCCTTAAGATTATGATTCAAGGTATATTCCTTAGTTGAGGGGTATTGGGCTCTCTGGGAATATAGTACGACACCCTTATAAAAAGGACCCTAAGGGGGATCCTAATTTAGAGAACTACCCATGTCCTCAAATCGATCTGAGTGTCAGGTTTCTGTCAAGGGGTTTTGGGATTAGGGTCTAGGGTTTAAGGCTTAGGGGTTTTAAGAGTACATGGGTTTCTAAGAGGGTAGTACAAAGTTACCGTAGTACCATGATTGGCATCGTGGATGTGAGATCCTATCCCTCTTCAGAAGCCATGGCTTGATGTAGACCCGTGATTAATAAGCCATGTTTCTTTCATGACCATCTATTGGGGTTCCCTCATAGCAGGGAGGGGGTTATAAGCGAGATATAGGCCCCAGAACCCTCCTTAAGGTGACGGTAGAGAAAGCCAGAAGTCGTGGGATATCGCTACAGTCTCAGCCGCAAAGTAAACACTCTAAACGCTAAGCCCCTACACCCCTAGACTGTTAAACCTCAACCTTGCATTCTCTGCCTCTGCGCTGGGCTTGACATGAAACCTGAGTTAGAGTGATTTAGAGTGATTTA